TGAGTAACCACTGTGCCTGACCCAGAGTCAGGTGTACAGAGGGCATGAGGAACAACCTGCCATGGTCCTACAACTAAAGGATGCTTTCTGCTGAGCTGAAGTAGTGAGAACTGACATGGGGCATGATCACCAGGGCGTTTGGCATGAGCCTTGTAGTACGGATGATAAATGCAGTTGGAGTCTCAAGCTGGGGAGGCCCAGAGTCTTCACAAAAGTCTCTCTAGATTATGGTGTTCAGATTTAACAGAATCCAAAGAATCCAACTGCTTTGGGCAGGAGAAGAGAGCGAAAAATAGGCTGAGGGAAGCACAGGGTGAAAAAAAACCAAGGTGCCTTCATGACTTCTGAGCAGTTCATTCTGTCCACCCACCATGCCTCTTTGCAAGGTCTAGTTCAGGCAGCAGCGCCCTCATGCTGCTCCCTGCTGGCTGCTAGTAGGTGTGGCAGTAGAAACTGGAAATGCTGCTCAGGATTCAGTTGTGAGCTTTACTCCTTATTACTATAGTGCAGCCAGCTCCTGCTCATGGAGAAAGCATGTTTGGGGCTGACAGGTCTTGGGGGTCCAGGCAAGAGCTCAGGTTTCTATCTTCAGACCTCAGGCTGGTTGGACTCAATGAGCCAAGGCTGTTCTAGCTCAATCTGTAATTCAAGGTTAAAATAATGTACAAGGTGTAGAAAGATGTGTCTGTGGATTTCAGATTAAGTTGGTGTAGGCAAAGAATAGTTTACATCTTCACACTAAGGACCACCTGAGTAGGCAACAGGAAATAGACTGCACTCAATGAGAGTTAATTCTGGAACTTTTCCTGTGGGTTTCTTCAAAGCAGACTGAAATAGGAGTGTAAATGTCATTTTATTGGAGTAGTAGTAAGAGGAATCTACATTCAGATTCTGTTCCCCCTCCTTTTCTAGGATGGGCTTTTGAAATGAAAAATCTGCATAGCTTTACTTAAGGTTTTTCCTGGCATTTTACAGCCTGTCTGTTGAAGAATGTTTGAAGCCCAATATACAGGATAAAGCATGTCAACAGTGCTTGTAAAATGTATATAGAGAACCATATTTCTTCCCTAGAGAAGACCTCCCCTTAACCAGGCGCTGGTGGCTCACGCCTATAATCCTAGCTACTCAGGAGGCTGAGATCTGAAGATAGCAGCTCAAAGCCAGCCTGGGCAGGAAAGTCCATGAGTCCTTTTTTTTTTTGGTCGGTCGTGGGGCTTGAACTCAGGGCTTGGGCGCTGTCCCTGAGCTCTTCAGCTCAAGGCAAGTGCTCTACCACTTAAGCCACAGCCCCACTTCCAGTTTCTAGTGGTTTATTGGAGATAAGAGTCTCACGGACTTTCCTGCCCTGGCTAGCTTTGAACCGAGATCCTCAGATCTCAGCCTCCTGAGTAGCTAGGATTATAGGTGTGAGCTACCGGGGCCCGGTTTCTATGAAACTTTTATCTCCAGTAAACTACTAGAAAAATGGAAGTGGTGCCGTGGCTCATGTGGTGGAGTGCTAGCCTTGAGCTAAAGAAGAAGACCTCCCCTCTCCTTTGTTTTTTTTTTCTTTCTTTCTTTTTTCCTTTGGTCGATTGTGGGGCTTGAACTCTGAGCCTGGGTGCTGTCCCTCAGCTCTTCAGCTCAAGGCAAGCACTCTACCACTTGAGCCACAGCACCACCTCCAGTGTTCTGGTGGTTATTTGGGGATAAGGGTCTCACAGAGTTCCTGCCTGGGCTGGCTTTGAACTGCAGTCCTCAGACCTTAGTCTCCTGAGTAGCTAGGATTACAAGTGTGAGCCACTGGCACCTGGCTTTCCTCTCTCCTTTCTAATAGATTCTTTCCAAAGCATTCTTCAAGTGTGGAGTCAGAGGTAAGCTGCCGAGTTTGGCATATCTTAGGACAGCTGCTGCTTCTCCTAGGGAAGTGTGCCCCTTGTAGTTGTTCAGTAGATTCAAAGCCTGTGGTTGTTTCTGTGCATACCATCTAGTCCATCTCATAATTACAATCTCACCGTTTTGAACCTCTTCCTCCTGCTTGCAGTGTCTCAATGACACTGGTGCTTCCTCAGACATGGGACCGCGGCTGTCCTAACAGGCCTGGCTTGTGGTGCTATATCTAACCTTACCCTTCCCATCCTCCTTTCCTGCTTTCCACACTGATCCCTCCTTGCTGTACTTTGTCTCCTCTGTGTAGATTGTAAATGGACATTAAGTGGTTGAGGGAGATGTGAATGAGGGTGGTGTGAAGGCATGGGAGCCCCACCAGGTCCAAAACCCACTGGCATTTTCTGACGACGAGGAGGAAGACCTGCTGGAGTTCATGTACAAGTATAAGGCGCCGAAAAAGACGGAATTGCCCCTGGAGGTACACTGTGTCTGGGGATGTGGGTTGGAGCATGTTTTTGTCCAGGAGGGATTGCCCTGGACATCTAGGGGTGCTGAGAAAGGCATTTATTGGGATATCCAACATCTCTCAAGTGCTTAAGGTGATAAGGTCTCCCTTCATCAAACAGGCATGTAACTAATTCTTTCTAGAAACAGGAGAGAATAGTAAAGCTTGATTTTGATTTTTTTTTGTTCTAAATATCAACAGGTAACTTAAGATAGTGTGTCAGTGGAAAGCAACCCAAAGAAGTGTTTTGGTGGAAGAAAAATTCAGAATGTTAATTGACAGGTTTTTATAAATAAGGCTTTTCAACCACTCTATCTCCAAGACACAGCACCGCACCTGGTACAAATTCAATGTGGGTGACAGGGGTACTGTGGATGTGATGGTCTCTAGCAGCAGGAGGGAGGAGCCTGGAGTTCTTGAGCCTTATGCATGTATGTAAGTGGGGAGCCAGCAGAATCTGGGGACCTCAGAGACTTCCCCTCTATCTGCTCAGTTTTTTCCGTTCCTGATTTGCTGACTCACAATTCTGGAACAAGTTGGGTGTTTCTTCTCTGGATGATACAGGCCTCTGAGAGTCAGATGAAGAAAACTGAAATGCTTACCACACCAATATGGAGGCCCAATCTTCCTGTTCATACCTGGATGGTAGTTGGGACTATTCAGTTTTCAGTTCATCATATTCCTTTCCAAGGCTAAGTATATAGGGATCAGTTCTTTTCTTTTTGTGGTGCTGGGGATCAAACCCAAGGCCTCCTACCTACTAGGCATGCACTCTAACACTGACCTGTATGTCTAGCCCATAAGGATTAGTTCTATTTACCAGAGGAGACCCATCTAGGCATTGGAAGAATGAAAGCCCACTGTGGGCATGGGAGGGGATGCAGTGAGGGTACAAATGTCCCACTGTTTATTGTAACAACCAAGGGGCAGGTGACTTACAAAGGTGAGTTATACTGCTTCTGAGCCTTGGTCCTATCCATAGGTTGGTGGTGGACACTTTGTTGTGGCAAGGCTGCCACCCAAGGACCCTGTGTGAGTACCCAAGGCTGCTCTGTGCTTGAATCATTCTCTCTTCCTATGTGCCTACCTGGTATGGAGCCAGACACCATGCAGCAAGTACATGGTGGGGATTCAGAGCAGAGAACACACTTCCCACTGGGTGCAAAGGCCTCGGCTTTGGGGCCATACGAAACAGTACTGAGAACAGAGGTAGTGACAAAACCTGGCTATGTGTGTTTGGGCAGTGGGGAGAAGGGCTCAGCAAAAGCTCAGCCCAGGAGACTTTTTTTTTTTTTTTTTTTTGGTTGGTCATGGAGCTTGAACTCTGGGCTTGGGCGCTGTCCCTGAGCTCTTCAGCTCAAGGCAAGTGCTCTACTGCTTGAGTCACAGCGCCACTTCTAGGTTTTTTTTTTTTTTTTAGTGGTTTATTGGAGATAAAGAGTCTCACGGACTTTCCTGCCCTGGCTGGCTTCGAATCGAGATCCTCAGATCTCAGCCTCCTGAGTAGCCAGCACCTGGCTTCCAGGAGACTTTTTTTTAACCTGTTTTTTTATTTAAATTTAAATTTGTTATTATAAAGGTGACATCCAAAGGGGTTACAGTTACATAAGTCAGGTAAAGAGTACATTTCTTTTTGGGCAATGTCACAACTTCCCTTACTCTCCCCAGAAGACTTTTGGGCTGGTGCTTAGGAGAATTAGGCTATGTGCAAGCCTGGAGACAGGGAAGGGCTTTTAGTCAGAAGGAGCAGCAGTGTAAAAGGACACAGTACAGATAGAGAAGGTTTTCTTATCTAGCTTCAGAGAAGTTAACAGGAATAGAGGATGAAAAGTGGAAGGGGCTGGAGCCAGTTGTATGAACCTCTGGGTGCTATGCCAGAACAAATTCTTTCCCTTTCTTTCATTTTCATAGCAATTCCTGTGATGTGTGTATCCTATGGAAGGGTGGGGTCCCTTGAGCCATTTTTGGGAGGGGGTATTTGCATTTACAGAACTAAAAACTAAATATGCAACAAATAAATTACAAATGTACATCTCAGCAGCATAGGGGTGATTTTGCTTGCATTTCTAAAAACACTGCTGTCTGTAAAGACAATCCAATTGTGGGAAATGGCTAACTAACCTCAGGAGGTGGTATTTGCCTTTGTAGTGTGGTTTGCTGTGCAGTAAATGGTTCCACCTCCAGAATGGGGACTGGCAACTTGGTGATGGAAATTTGAAGCATGCATCAGGAAACCGGAGGCCAGTTCCCAAAGGAGCTATAACAGGCCAGGTTGGGAGACATTTCTCTGATGAGTCACTCCTTAAGATCATTTGCTCCCAAGGTAGCAACAACAAAGATGCATCACTCTTCAGGCCAGACATTCCATTAGGAGACCTGGAGAAGTAGGACATGAAGAACCCAAGAGGGAGGTGTCTCCTCAATGCGCTCGGCTTCACAGGGTGTGCAGGGTGCAACTCTGTGATTCCTATTGTGGAGAGACCCAAGAAAGACCCCAGATCTGCCCACTAGCTCGCAACCATGTGAAGAGCTAAGGATCTGCACATTACCCTACCCCAAGGTGCCATCCTCAAAACAACACACTTGTGCCACACTGAAGAATTTCTTTTTCTGTTTTCTCTATCAGGCACCGCCTAGAACCCTTCGATCTCGCTTCAGGAAGAAAAGTACCTCATCCTCGGCCACTGAAACCACGTGAGTGAATGAGATGAGCCAACAACACTGGATCCAGAATGTTTCTTCTCTGCCTTAAAGAGCTAGTCATTAATAACACAGAAATCCGCAGGCTGGGTGTGCTTTGAGTGTATAACCTCACAGACTCGGCCTTTATTCGCTCCCCTCTTCTACCTATAAGAAATTCATTCTTTTTCTTTTCTCTTTCTCTCTCTCTGTCTGTCTCTGACTTTCTCTCTTTTTCTGTTTGTCTGTTTCTCTTTTCCTTCCTTAAATTTTTGCTGGGGAGAGCCTAAAGGGCGAGGTCAGGGGTGAGCCTTTAAGTCTCCTGAGGTTAGTTAGCCATTTCCCACAATTGGATTGTCTTTACAAACAGCAGTGTTTTTAGAAATGCAAGCAAAATCACCCCTATGCTGCTGAGATGTACATTTGTAATTTATTTGTTGCATAGTTAGTTTTTAGTTCTGTAAATGCAAATGAAGTTTTTTTAAACCTTTTTTGTTCTTGGTACTAATATTTTGGACTGTGATGTACAGAATTATGGCTTTGGCTTAATATAATGAATTTACAGATGCTGCCAGCAGTTCTGATAAGAAAAAAAATGTAAACAAATACTTTTGGTTCTGGACAGTGGCTCCCATGTTCTTATAAAGATCCCAAATCCAGTTTCAGTAGCACCCCTTTTCCAGTGGGAAGATGGTCCACCTTCTTCAGATGCTTGTGCAGTCAATAGAAGGTCAGGAGACTAGAGACTGCATCTTAGCAACAGGCATGTGTTGGTGGGAGGCCGGGGAATGACTCCAGGATAAGGGAAGAGTCAGGGAGCTCATCGCTTCCTTGGAGTCAGGATTGGGAGTTTCCAAGCCCATTCAGGGGCACTCCTGGTAAAACGTATTGGGCTTGAGGACTCACAGTAAGTGACTCTTTCTTCATAGTGGTCAGTGCTGCAACTCATTTCCCCAGGTAAAGGAACCTATGATCTGAGCACCTTGTTTTTAGAGAACACTAAGCAAAAACAAACCAATAAAGCTAGAACTAAACCTTGTTTCAGATAGTGCTAAATTAGATAAGACACGTGTGTAACAACCAGAATGGCAAGTTCTAGAAAGGCTTTTAAGATTCAGGGCAGCTAGGGTGCCCAGTCCTCAGTCCTCTTCTTTTCTGTGTGGAATGTGAGTGGTGAACTTATTCTTGTGGGCACTGTAGGATTTTAGGTATTTTCTATATGCCAGGATTGCTTAGTAGGAAAATGAAACATTAAGAATTTGGGGAAGAATCTGGTTAAGATGACATTGTGATCTGAGGTAGTTGCCCTGCTTTCTGGGAGCTGAGCCAAAATGTAGGACTAGTATATTTGTGCTTAAGAGTTGATGTTTTCTTTCAGTGTAATGCATGCAATGGTCACAACCCAGTTACTCGTATTTGGATTGTGTCTGTTCATAGATATGCCCTGAAGATTAGAGTAGTGTTATATGCCACATAGAGCTCTCTACTGACTGCAAACAGGCTCAGTTCAAACCTGCTCCATTACTTAGCTACACAAACATGCATCGATGGCCTTTGCTCATCATGCATTATTAGCTGGATCTTAGCCACTTCACCAAGGGTTTTAGTTACATTCATTGTTGCCCAGGCATACATACTGAAATGCCTTTCCATAATTCCTCTGAAGGTGATTTTGTAATTTACAAAAGAATTTAAGAATAGAAGGCTAAAAGCAGATTTGTGGCTAAGAGGGCAGAGGCTCTCTGCTCACTGAATGTGTCCTACACTTGTCAATATTGAACCTGTTAGGAAAGAGAGAAAATCTGTTCTCGTCAAGCTCACTGAACAGCTCCAGACAGGAAAAATACTCTTTACCATGGATTTACTCTCTTAGTTGGGAGTACTCATAATTATCAGAAGCCAATGGGGAAGGGGGAAGCTTAAGTTAAGCAGCTTTTTAGCAAAAAAAAAAAATAATTTTTTTTTGCCAAAATTATGCCTTTAGCAGTAGAGTTTAAAATCCTATTATATTTTCATCATTTTACAGTGGAAAATTCTAACAAGGCTAGGATATCAAATTTGCACTCAACTATGCCAAAAACAGTTTGATGACACACTCTACTCTCAGACATGCTGTATTACTCCTCATTTAAAATTTAAAAAAATACAAAGGTATCTAAACTGTTGTCTTAATGTAAATGTATCTATTTTTCCTTCAAGTGTTGATTAGGGAATAGGTGTCTCTCAAAGACACACTGTACAAGTGAGAGCAGTTGTCACTTATTTCCGGCAACATGTGTTTACTTATCTGACAAGCTGTATATTTGTGTATGGACTTAACATAAAATGTGAATGCCTATCTGTGTACACTTAGTGTGGTATTCTGTCTAGAGGAGAAAAATGAATGTTTTTATGGATTTACAGACACAGGCTGTTTACAAAATGCTAGTTCAAAAGTCTGTAATTTTTCCCATGTCATAATTTTTTAGTTCCTTGCCATTGAACACCTATTCCATTTCTAAGGTGGTGAGATGTGGTCTTATGCTTATCAACTGGAGAGTTTAGTCATAATCGCTCCTGGCTTTGTGTGAATAGCTTGCTCACTTAGCTGGCCTTCCAGATATGTGTCCTCTGTGGTGAACTGTCCATGTGTTTGTGCTTAACAGTGCTGTCCACTGCTGGCCATTGGTAGTAAGCCTTCCCAGTTCACCCTGAGAAGTATTTGAAATGGCGAGGGATGTGTTTTATTATCTTTATAGCAGATACTCTGGATTGTGACTGTGTACACTTCCTCTACTTTATTTCTAACTCTCCATAGAAGGATCTAGAATAGTAGACTGGATTGTGTATTAAAAGGATGTTAAATTACAGTATTCCAAAGGCTGAAGTTCTGCTGTTTGGTTATAATGCCTGATATACATCTTGAATAAAGTCTTAAACATTTTTCTTTAAAAAAACTTTATAATGTTGGGTTTATGAAAAAAATATATTTTTTAATATGAAAGGTCACAAGGATTAGAAGCTGAGTGCTCAACCACTATCTGGCTTACAGACTTAGCCCCGAGCTTACTGAATAGGATTAGTGTGATTAAAAAAAAAATTAACCAGGAATGGGTGGCTCATGCCTGTAATCCTAGCTACTCAGGAGGCTGAGATCTGAGGACCATGGTTCAAAGCCAGCATGGGCAGGAAAGTCTGTGAGACTCTTATCTCGTTAATCACCAGAAAACCAGAAGTGGGGCTGTGGCTTAAGTGGTAGAGCCTCTCCTTGAGCTGAAGAGCTCAGGGACAGTGCTCAGGCCGAGTTCAAGCCCTTTAACAAATTAACTAGTGTTGGGAATGTGGCTTGGTGGTAGAGTGCTTGCCTAGTATGCATGAAGCCCTGGGTTCAATTCCTCAGTATCACATACACAGAAAAGGCCAAAAGTAGTGCTATGGTTCAAGTGGTAAGAGTGCTAGCCTTGAGCAAAAGAAGCTCAGGGACAGTGCCTGGGCCCTGAGTTCAAGCCCTAGCACTGGCAAAAAAAAAAAAAAAGTGGCTTACTACTGTAATCCTAGGGTGAGATCTGGGGATCTCAGTTCAAAGCCAGCCCAGGCAAGAAAGTAAGACTCTTTCCCCCAACTGACCAGCAGAAAACCAGAAGTGGTGCTATGGCTCAAAGTGGCAAAGCATTAGTGTTGAGCAAAAGAACTCAGGGACAGTGCCCAGATCCTGAGTTCAAGCCCTACAGCTGATAAAAATAAACATTTTGAAAATGATCACACAAACATAAACCTGAGTCGCTTTCACAGCTTTAAAAAATGGGTAGAGGGCTGGGAAGGTGGCTCAGTGGTAGAGTGCTTGCCTAGCATGCATGAGGCCCTAGGTTTGATTCCTTAGCACCAGCACCACATAAACAGAAAAGGCCGGAAATGTGGCTGAAGTGGTAGAGCATTAGCCTTGAACTGAAGAGCTCAGGGACAGTGCCCCATGACCGACAAAAAAACCCAAAAAGTCGAAAAATGGGGCTAGGTATGGTGGTCACACCTGTAATCCTAGCTACTCAGGAAGCTGAGATCTGAGAATCAAGGTTCAAAGCCAGCTTGGGCAAGAAAGTCTGAGATTCTTATCTCCAATAAACCACTCAGAAAACCAGATGTGGCACTGTGGCTCAAGTGGTAGAGCACTAGCCTTTTGCTGAAGAGCTGAGGGACAGCGCCCAGGTTCCTCAGTACCACCATAAATGGAAAAAGCCGAAGTGGCACTATGGCCTAAGTGGTAGAATGCAAAAGAAACTCAGGGACAGTGCCTAGGCCCTGAGTTCAAGCATGCGGACAGGCCAAAAAAAAAAAAAAAAGGTAGAAACTGGAGAACTGTAAAAACACATTGTTCATTGATAGCAGTTCATTGATAACAGTTTTAATCCTGTTGTAAGACAGACACTGGTGCATTATTTTGCTTAGTGTTTCTTCATCTGCAATGGAATGAGCACTTGTACAGTAGAGGGGAGAGTATGGCAGCCTATGTGCAGGGCACTGTGGATAACGAGGATGACCTTTGCCCTTTGTAGTCCTTGTCTGATTTAAAACAGGAGCCAGTACACTCAATCTTCATCCTTCATGGGGCGGTTCAGAGATGTGAAAACATCAGAGTTAAACACATGTTCATTTTCTTTGCTTTGGCACAAGTAGCAAGGAAAAGAAGCAGATTCAGCTGACAGAAAGCAGCACAAAGATGGAAAGAAAGGCTGGAGATCCATTCATTTATTCATGTAACAAGACAGGATCAATGTCAATGGAAGATTACCACCAGAAAAACAATGTTACAAAATTTAAAAGCTGAATTGAAAGTGTTTTGAAGTACTGAGAACTTTCAAAGTTACTAAAGTCACTTGCTAATTTAAGACATTAATTTTCTTATGTGGTTAGAAGACTAAGTGAAACATACAGAATTCCAAGGAATTGGATTAGGGTTTGGGAACCTAATAGCTATACTTTGGGGTAATTTATTTAACCTTCCCTAAGCTTCAGGCTTTGCTTTCATCAAATTTAAATTAGGGATAACACAAATGGCATCTTCTTTGTAAAGTTGTTACAATGTTGAGTTTTGCAGCTCAGTGCCCAGTATTGTGGACATGTAGATGGTCTATACACTACCCATATATGTCAATACACTATCTATGTACTTCCTAAATTACACATGTACTTGAAGGTCACTCAGGTGACTTTTCAAGCTTTGTAACAAAAGCTGTTTTACTGTCAAGTTATAGAACTAGTTTTGATAAGCTATCCTATCCAAAACAAGAATTCTATATATGAGCCGGGCACTGGTGGCTCACACCTGTAATCCTAGCTACTCAGGAGGCTGAGATCTGAGGATCTCGGTTCAAAGCCAGCCCGGGCAGGAGAGACCGTGAAACTCCTATCTCCAATAAACCACCAGGAAACCGGAAGTGGCGCTGTAGCTCAAGTGGTAGAGCGCTCGCCTTGAGCTGAAGAGCTGAGGGACAGCACCCAGGCCCAGAGTTCAAGCCCCACGACCAACCAAAAAAAAAAAAAAAGAATTCTCTATATGAAATCCCTCCTAAATCCCTTCTACTTCAGCCTATTTCTGCATAGTGAAGTCCTGGTCTCCAGTCCTGTCCCACCAAGGCACTCTAAGGCCCCCAAAAGCCTTGAATTATTACAAGAACAGGATAGTAAGCAAAAGCTGTGAATTAGAAGTCACTGCATGAGCAGAATCCACAGGTAGAGTCCCATGTCTAGAATAGCATAAAAATCAACCCTCTCTTAATGAGCAATACTATTCAATCTCTGCCTTCCTGAGACAAAGGAGTGGTACATGCTTCATTGATCGAGCTGGAGAGCTGGCTCCTGAGTTGCCACACATGTATGGTTAAATATGACAGAGTACTTGAGTACTACCTTTACTGACTTGTTATGGTCTTCCTCATTTGACTTATCTTGCAACTAAGTAAGTAATTGAAACAGCTTTTTCCAATAAAGTCATTTCCATTTTGTAAAAAAAATGCAAACTTGAATGTTTAATCCATTAAGTTTTAAAATCTTCGTAAGTTTAATATTGGTATCTTATGTTTACATGTCAGTTCACACAATTTGCATCTACACTTTTAGGTTTGTTCGATCATGATACTTCTGATAAGGATCGTCAGCATACCAGTTTCTTCTTTTCCAGAAAGACGTTGTCATTTTATCTAAGAGTTTACTCTGGGTTTTATTGCAGAACACTATTTCTCTCAAGCGTTTTTTTCTTGCACTTGTCTTCTTCCATAATTTTTTCTTATAACCAGCCTGTGAGATATTAGAAGACATGTAAAACATTATGAAGGAAACAGCAGATTATATTAGTAACTCATGGTTTATGGGACCAATGGGAAAGGAAAACCAGATTTCTATTAAAGCTGGGATGTTTTTCATCCCAGTTGGCAGAAAATGTATGTGTAGTTTGAAAAAAAAGTACTAGTAAATAATTTAATATTTTGGAAGAAGATTAAATTGACAAGCCTACTGTCTTTTCCCAACTTTAATCCCAGCATTAATGCAAGAGGATCAAAAGTTTTGAGGCCAGCTGGGCGCCTCGCTGGCTCTTGCCTATAATCCTAGCTACTCAGGAGGCTGAGATCTGCTGGATCTGAGGGTCATGGTTCAAAGCCCACCCAGGCAGGGAAGTCCATGAGACTCTTATCTCCAGTTATCTACCAGAAAACAGGAAGTGACAACGTAGCTTAAGTGATAGAGCACTTGCCTTGAGCTGAAGAGCTCAGGGACAGCACCCAGCCTGAGTTCAAGCCCCACAACCGACTCCCCCTCCCCCCCCGCAATAAAAAGTTGGAAGCCAGTCTTGACCTACTTAAGACCCTGAGTCAAAAAACAGAAACAGGGCTGGGAAGGTAGCTCAGTGGTAGAGCGCTTGTCTTGCATGCATGAGGCCCTGGGTTCAATTCCTCAGCACCACATAAGCAAAAAAGCCGAAGTGGCACTGTGACTCAAGTGGTAGAGTGCTAGCCTTGAGCTGAAGAGCTGAGGGACAGCGCCCAGGCCCAGACCCAAAAAAACAAACAAAAAAAACACACCAAAATCACAACCGGTTATTTGGGAGAATAACTTGATCCCATGAATTTAAGACTACTCTAGGCAACCGGAAGGGAGGGAGGGAGGGAAAGGAAGGGAAGGGAAGGGAAGGAGGGGAGGGAGGGAGGGAAGGGAAGGGAGAAAGGACGAAGAGGGAAGGGAGAAAGGAAGAGAGGGAAGGAGGAAAGAAAGAAAGATAGTTGGAGATGTAGCTCATTAGTAGAATACTTGCCTAGAATGTATAAGGCTCTGGGTTGAATCCCCCAGAACCTGGTGGACAGGGTAGCTAAATAAACCTGTGTGGTTGATGAAGAACAAGATAATGACCTATAACACCTAACTTTTTATGCATTATCTTACTTCTTTAGCAATCTTCAACAACATACTATTTTTATGCTTGGGGCTTCAACTCAAGGCCTGGGCAATGTTCCTGAGCTATTTTGCTCAAGGCTAACATTCTATTACTTGAGTTCTACTTCTGGTTTTCGGGTGGTTAACTGGAGATGAGTCTCACAGACTTTCCTGCCCAGGCTGGCTTTAAACTGCCATCCTCAGATCTCAGCCTCCTGAATAGCTAAGATTATAGGCATGAGCCACTGGAACCCAGCTGATACGTTCAGATTTTATACATTACTATAAGCAACCTAGAGTTTGGGGTTTTGTTTTGTTTTCTTGAAGTACTGGTGTTTGCTTGTTTTACTGGTGCTCTATCACTTGAGTCATGCCTGCCTCCTCTAGATTGGCTTTCTGCTGATTAATTAGAAATGGAGTTTCTGCCTTAGTTGGCCTTTAAGCATGATCCTCTCAATCTCAGCCTCCAAAGTAGCTATTAACTACCAGTGCCTGGCTCCTCTTCCATAATTAACTACCAGTGCCTGGCTCCTCTTCCATAATTAAATTTTTTTTTTTTGGTTGGTATCTTTCATGAAGGAACTTCTTTTTTTTTCTTTTTCTTTCCTTGTTTTTTTTTTGGGGGGGGATGTCAGTCATGGGGCTTGAACTCTGGGCCTGGGTGTTGTCCCTCAGCTCTTCAGCTCAAGGCTAAGGCTATACTAGTTGAACCACAGCACCACTTCCAGTTGTCTTGTGGCTTATTGGAGAAAAGAGACTCAAGGACATTCCTGTCTGGGCTGGCTTTGAACTGTGATCCTCAGATCTCAGCCTCCTGAGTAGCTAGGATTACAGGTGTGAGCCTCTGGTGCCCAACTGATTAGGAATTTCTTTCCTTCCCCTTTAAAAAATTTTTTACTGTGCAGGGCACTGGTGGCTCACGCCTGTAATCCTAGCTACTCAGGAGGCTGAGATCTGAGGATCGCAGTTCAAAGCCAGCCCGGGCAGGAGAGACCATGAGACTCCTATCTCCAATAAAACCACCAGAAAAAAAAACCAGGAGAGACCATGAGACTCCTATCTCCAATAAAACCACCAGAAAAAAAAACCAGAAGTGGCGCTGTAGCTCAAGTGGCAGAGCGTTCACCTTGAGCTGAAGAGCTGAGGGACAGTGCCCAGGCCCAGAGTTCAAGACCCACAACCGACCAAAAAAAAAAATTTTTTTTACTGGGAGCTGGGGCACCCAGTGACTCATGCCCGTTATCCTAGCTACTCAGAAGACTGAGATCCAAGGATCATGGTTCAAAGCTAGCCTGGGCAAGAAAGTCCTTAAGACTTTTTTTTTGGGGGGTGGGGCAGGTCTGGTCATGGGGTCTGAACTCTGGGCCTGGGCGCTGTCCCTCAGCCTTCAGCTCAAGGCTAGCGCTCTACCGCTTGAGCCACAGCGCCACTTCCAGCTTTTTTCTTTTTTGCTTATGTGGTGCTGAGGAATCGAACCCAGGGTCTCAGGCATGCAAGGCAAGCGCTCTACCACTGAGACACCTTCCCAGCCGTCCTTAAGACTCTTATCTCCAATTAACCACAAGAAAACAGAAAGTGGTGCTGTGGCTCAAGTGGTAGAGCACTAGCCTTGAGAGGAAGAGCTAAGGGACAATGCCCAGGCTCAGAGTTCAAGCCCCATGACCAACAACAAAAAAAATTTACTGGGCTGGGAATATGGCTTAGTGATAAGAGTGCTTGCCTAGCATGCATGAAGCTCTAGGTTATATTTCTCAGTACCACATAAACAGAAAAAGTTGAAAGTGATGCTGTGTGGCTCAAGTGGTAGAGTGCTAGCCTTGAGCAAAAAGAAGCTCAGGGACAGTGCCCAGGCCCTGAGTTCAAGCCCCAGGACTGGCAAAAAAAAAAAATGTATATACATTTTTTACTAGCCAGGTGCTGATGGCTCATACCTGTAATCCTAACTATTCAGGAGGCTGAGATCTGAGGATTGTGGTTCAAAGCCAGCCCGGGTAGGAAAGTCTGTGAGAATTTTATCTCTAATTAACAACCAGAAAACTGGAAGCAGTACTGTGGCTCAAAATAGTACTGCACTAGCCTTGAACACAAAAGCTCAGGGACAGCACTCAGCTCTGAGTTTAAGCCCTACAACTGACTGAAAAAATTTTTTTACCAGCATAAATTGTACCGAAGTTTCATTTTGGTATTTATACACAAACAAGCATATAATGTTTGATTAAATGCACTTTATATATGTTTTTGTAGCCTTCATCTCATCTCCCACCTCCTTTTTTTTAAAAATCAGTTTTTAGTTGGCATTTTCATTCATATACTAATGTAATTTAGAATTAATTTTGATGAAGCAGGCCATTCTGTGAATGCCATGCTGAGTTGGGGCAAAGTATTATGATCAGTTCCTTAATAATAACACAGGGCTACAGATCTAATGGAAAGGAAGGCAAAAAGTACCCACTACTTTTTATCCAGGGCCAGACAGGGACCTGGACTTAAAACTGGTATGATAACAAAAGGAAAGAAATGTTTCTTATGGTTCAAACACAGAACTCAACTATTTGAACTTCAGCTACTTATACATTATATGAGCTATGACTGAGTAGGAAACTCATTACCATGTCTTTATGGAGAAATGAACTAAGAGTTCCAATCAACCTGTTCTATAGTGAAGACATTACCTTTTTTTTTTTTTGGGGGGGGGGTGGAAGGTCTGGTCCTGGGGCCTGAACTCTGAGCCTGAGCGCTCTTCAGCTCAAGGCTAGTGCTCTACCACTTGAGCCACAGCGCCACTTCCGGCTTTTTTTCTTTTTGGTTATATGGTGCTGAGGAATTGAACCCAGGGCCTCATGCATGCAAGGCAAGCGCTGTACCACTGAGCCACCTTCCCAGCCCTGCCATTTTGATTAATACATCTTTTAAACTAATGTTTACATTTTATTCACATGGATTCAGAGATGACCGTCAGCTGGTATACTTAAGGCACAGAACTATGAAAGCTACTGCTAAGATGAGCGAAGACAAGCCACAAATAGACTCAATGAACTCTGCAACATCTTAAATCTTCTACTCTCCCTCTTTTTCAACCAGAAAACAGTGTAAAGACTCACCTTTCTCCTTAGCCAAAGGCCAGAATGAAGTCGAAGAAACCGATAGATAACGGCTTTTACAGTTTTTCTTTTGCCTTTTTGTGTACTGCAGTATGTAACGTTTCTGACTGGCATCTTCAGGACACTGGGAACCAAAGGGGCCACTCTAAAATAAAATTTAGAAATGTAACTCAGCAATCACACTATCTAAAACACTACAATTCATTGTGTTTAGATCCAGTGTTTAAATGCTGCTTCACTGGCATGTAGCTTTTAATACATATTACTTCAAATGACTCATGATACATCTAAGAATAGCAAATATCTCAGGCTGGGGGCATGGCTCAAGTGCAGAGGGCCTGGTGAGGCAAGTGCAAAGCCCTGAGTTCAAACCCGTGACAAAAAGAAAAGAAAAAAGAAAAAAAGATAAAGTAACTATCCAGTCCCCTGGGAATGTAATGCAGTGTAATGCAGAGCATGTGCTTAGCATATACAAAACATCAGCACCCAAATTAAAACCCTCCACTTCAACCCATGAAAGAATCTATCCTATTATATTATGTGAAGGGGCTTCATTATTAATTACCTGATTTCTTACCTATTTGCCCAACACATTATAAATTCCTTGAGGGCCAGGTGCCTATGACTCACTCCTGTAATCCTAGCTACTCAAGAGGATGAGATCTCAGGATCATGGTTCAATAGCCCAGGCAGGAAAATCCACAAGACATTTTTTTGCTGTTGGTGGTGGTCATGGGGCTTGAACTCTGGGCTTGGGCGCTGTCCCTCAGCTCTTCAGCTCAAAGTGAGCGCGCTCTACCACTTGAGCTACAGCACCACTTCCGGTTTTCTGGTGGTTTATTGGAGATAGTAGTCTCACGGTCTTTCCTGCCCTGGCTGGCTTTGAACCATGATCCTCAGATCTCAGCCTCCTGAGTAGCTAGGATTACAGGCTGAGCCACCAGTGCCCAGCTCACAAGACTCTTATCTCCAATTAACCAATAAAAAAGTCAGAAGTGGAGGTGTTGCTCAAATGATTAGAGTACTATCCTTGAGCAAAAAAGCTTAGGGACACAGCCAGGTTCTGAGTTTAAGCCTGGGACCAGCACAGAAAACTTCTTGAGGATTTCCATGTATTTATCTTTGTGTCCTTTCTGCCAAGTACAACGCCAGACACCCAGAGATGTTTAACTATTTACTGACTTCATGAAAACTACCCACTTTCCAGTCTTGTTTATTCACCTCCACTTTCCCATCTTAGCACATATACAACACTGTAAGTGAGCATGGTGATACAGTGTACTTGCCTAGCTTGCACAAGGCCTTGGGTTCAGTGCCCAGCACTGCAAAAGAGGGGAGGTGTGCTCTATCTGTTACTTCTTGTAGCAGGCACCTAGGTATGTTCATATCCATCATACTCTCCTACTCAGGCAAATTCTGCATAATAAACTGTAGGTAGGCAAAAAATATCATGGTAGGCAAAGAATAACGTCTTTCAGGCAGTACATTCATTCATTCATTCCAGAACCTTATGCCTTAGGCAAGCATTCTACTGCCACACTCCCATCCCAGGCATGAAGATTTCAGAAATTCTATCTATGTACCATGTTTACCTATTAAAGACTGTTGCAGTATGCCCATATGTTAGGTTTCTGACAGATGTGACAAGTTGGGAAGCAGAAGAAACAACTGGTGTCTGAATATGACTGAAATGCCTGGGGAACAGTATAGAATTAAGACAGACATTCTTGACACAGTTTCCGTAGGTTGAAGACACCAAAGTATTCAGGGGCCGTAAGATTCCTGTAGAGAGAAGTGTATATACTTAATATGAGTCTCTAAAATATGTACCCAATATTTAAAATTAAATAATGTATCAAAACGTGTAATATGTAATAAAAGGTCCCGAGCATCAGATTCACCCATGGAAGTTTTGTTTTTTAAACCAACTTTATAGAGTTATGACTTACATATATTTGCCCATTTTATGTATTCAAGGAATTGTTGAAAATTTGTGGAATTCTACCTAGGTGCTGGTGACTCAAGCCTATAATCCAAGCTACCCAGGAAGCTGAGATCTGAGGATCCCAGTTCAAAGCTATCCTGGGAACAAATGTCCAAGAGTCTAATCTCCAATTAACGAGCAAAAAAAAAAACACAACAAAACCCCCCAAAACCAGAAGTGAGGTGTTGGCTGGAATAACAACATCTTTGATGAAGAAAGTTGAGTGCAAGCCTCAGTGCAAGCACAAGAAATAAAAAACAATTAAGAAAGATTCTACAACCATCACCACCATAATTCAGTTTGGCATACCCTAGATCTATGTACTGTATATATGGGATTAATTTCCACCCTCAAGATCTTACTTTTTCTTGGGTCTGGTCATGGGGCCTGGGCGCTGTCCCTCAGCTCTTCAGCTCAAGGCTAGCACTCTACCACTTGAGCCACAGTGCCACTTCTGGCTTTTTTCTTTTTGCTTATGTGGTGCTGAGGAATCGAACCCAGGGCCTCATGCATGCAAGGCAAGCGCTCTACCACTGAGCCACCTTCCCAGCCCCAAGATCTTACACTTTATTCTAGCCTCTCCTCCTCCCATCTTATACTCTAGAGACAGAACTCCCACATTCAGTGCAACTGGCATTCAGAAACAGAAATGTATTTCAGAGGGATAAACAACTTTAGCAAAAGGCCTGGGGCTGAAATAAACATAAGAAGGGGAGTCTGGCCCAAACTTTAAGCCAAGGTTGCTGCTCCTCCTTGCCTGACCATATTACAGACTGCTTCGGACAAGTAGTGGGAAGTAAGGCAGGGTGGCTGGAAGGCAGACTGCAGAAAGCAATGTGGATTAGATGTAGTCCTCTTTATCAATCCTTCTCATGAGGCCACTATGCAAACTGGAATTCCATACAGAGCTCTGTCCTAGACATACTTTGAGACCATGTTAATATAATGCTAAAGTAGTGCCACAAGATGATGAAAATGTCCTAAGACTAAAATGTGATGGTTGCACAACTTGCTAAACTTACTGAAAATTGTCAAGTTGAACACATAAAATGACTAATTTTGTAGCATGTAAGTTCTATCTAAATAGTTTTAAACCAGGCGCCAGTGACTCATGCCTGTTATCCAAGCTGCTCAGGAGGCTAAGATCTGAAGCTCATGGTTTGAAGCTAGGCTGGGCAGAAAAGCCCCCCAAAAAGCTGGAAGTAGAGCTGTGGCTCAAGTGGTAGAACACTAGCATTGAGCAAAACAGCTCAAGACCCAGACCCTGAGGTTCAAGATCCAGGACCAGCACCAACAAAACAAAAACAAAAAAAAAAAGGGCTGAGCACATGATGGCTCACACCTATAATACTACATACTCTGGAGGCTGAGATCTGAGGATTGAGGTTCAAAGCCAGCCCAGGCAGGAAAAGTCCGTGAGACTCTTTTTTTTTTGTTTGTTTGTTTTTTGGGTCCGGC